TAAAGCGTTGTCTGTAAAAGGCAACAGGCATTTTGTCAAGCAAATTTCACAGAAACAGAGTATAAGGACATGTCAAATATGCACATGTGTCTTTATATGTAAGTGGGAGTGTGTACAAGTAAGCAGATCAAATGCATCTGTGGCCTGGGGTCAAGTGGCCTGTGGTTTTACACCGGGTTTCCTTCTCTGAAGGGCTTCATGTTCGCAGTTTAATGCTCTGTGGCTATATTTTCAAATTCTCTCTCTCTCTCTCTGTTTCATTCATCTACATTGTGTTTCACACAATCAGCCATAAACCGTATTTTATATAATTAATTACCATTGGTCTAAGCCTATTATTACCCCATCTTTTCAAGTCTACACTGAATCTTTCCTATTCTTTCATCTCCCTCCCATCTCCCCACTAAACTCTACTATCCTAGTGATTTCCACCCTTCCCCTTTCCCTGTCCCTAATACCTGTTTTCCTTTTGACACATACACATCTTACTCAGCTATCCTTCTATTTTTGCAATAATGGTCTTATGTAGTGTTTGTACATTCTGAAATTGTTAACAATTTTATTTTAGAATACATATGTGCTTCATGATTAAATCTGGTGGGGCGATGCAGAATCTTCTGGGAGGTCCAGTGGCCTTAACAACATGATACTGAAGCCCTGGACATCAGAGCAATTCTCAGCCCCTTCTTTCACCTTCTCCCTTCTTCAAACCTGAAACCATGGCCACTCCACACAGGAAGGACAACAGGTCTCTGGGCGGTGGGTGTGGGGAGAGAGAGGAGGTGTTTTCTGGCTTTGTATTTTGACCTGGACATGTCTTTGTATTTGGAACCAGCACGCACACATCTCAGATGTCCTCTGTCTCAGGATGGGGCAAGTGTTGAGAATCCTAGCCACAGCCTTGCAGGCACAGCACCTTCAGGAAGCTCTCTGGAGCCCAACCTCTCATGCGTTCTATTACAGGTACCAAGCAGGTTCCAGGGCAGACTCTCGGGAGCCACCAGCCTGGAGGCTTTAGTAAGGGGAGACTGCCTACCCTAGGGAACACTGATGGCCTAGTGGCTAAGGAGTTATGCTGCCAACTTAACAGTAGGCAGTCTGAATCCCCCAGTTGCTCTATGGGAGAAAGACGGACAGTCTCTTCCCTGTAATTTACAGCCTCTGAAAAGCTGCTAACCCATCAGCTATGAGTCAGTGCTAACTCTGTGATGATGTTTAAGTGAGTGACTGATGTTTGGTTGTGTCACAGTGTACAAATCCAGTGGCTGGCCAGAGAGAGGGGAAGCCAGAAGCAGCAGGTGGGCCACATGTTTATGCCTCAGGTACATAATATACGAACCACTGTCCTGGAGGGAGCCTGACATTCAGCAGAAAATGAAAAAAACACTAGGATGCATGAAGAGAAACTACAGAGGGAAGAATAAACTTCTATCCTGGAGGATCTTTAACAGCCTTTCTGTTTGTCTCGTTTGCCTTTGCTTTTCAAAAAGCAATCCAGAAGAGGTCTACATTTTTCCTGTTGCTTTGATTCAAAGGGTGTTCTTTTTGCTCTGATTTAAGGGACTGAAAGAATCATCTTCTGACAACCCACCTAGCAAAGTGGCAAGGGCATCCCACTTGTGCAGAGTCAGCTGACACCTGGGACGCCAGGCAAAGGACAGCTTCTTCAATGCACTCTAACTCTTAATGTCCACACTCACTGCGGTCAAGTCAGAATCAACCCACAGCTGACCCTCCGCTGGCTTCCCAGGCTGTAGACTGTGTAGAAGGAGACTGCCCATCCTTCTCCTGAGGAGCAGCTGGTGGGCTTGAACCAGCGGAGAGGTGTGGTGCTTGGGTTAACAGTGCAGCGCTCTGCGGGCTATGCTACCAGAGCTCCCTCTTGGGCTCTGAAACGAATCCTGCATTTTGGTCTCAGACTCTTAAAAGGTCGCTTTCTGGATATAATAACTGGGTAACCACTTCTCCCAAACAGCTTGCTCCAGGATTAATTCCTAATTCCTCAAAACGACTATGAGGCATCTCAGAGAGAGCAAAAGAAAAACATTATGCATGAAATTGAAAAACTCAACAGAAGGCAAATGCTACTGAGATTTCCCTTTTCTCCTACTGAACAAGGTATGCTAGTATTCTAACTGGTATAAGAAGTAACAAGGTATTCTAACATGTGAGTCCACCTATTTCCCTGGTTTGAACAATAATCTGCAAAGCAAACATTTTTCAGGCAGTCAAGGTATCTGCATAAGCATTGCATGATTTAAAGAACTACTGTGAATATTGTCAGCTGTGCTAATAACAGAGTTTGAGTAAAAGGATTCCTTTACAGATGCACACAAAAGTTCTTTGGATGAAGTACATTATCTAAGGACTGCTTTTAAAACCTCAGTGAAAGAAGAAACACTGCAAAAAAGACAGCAGAGTAAGAAAAGGATAAGGACAAGAAGACACCCAAGATGAAGACAAAAAAGAACAAAATGAGACACAGAAACTCCGTGATTGAAACATGCAAAGTCATCATATTACTCTCTTTGCCCTTGTGAATGTATTTATATTTCCACAGCAGAGTATATTCTGTGTGCGTACACAAGTATATGAGTATCTAACCTTTGCCTGCAAAACATTGCCTGTAAAAACTGGCCCGCAGATTTCCATTATCCTCCACACGGAGTATCTTTTCTGTGTGTGCAGCAGGCACCCTCTGAAGCTGACAGTTCCCTAATCCCAGAGATACAAAAGAGTGATGGAGAGGATAAGGTGCCTGTGGGCCCCAGACACAGTACAGAAAAGAAAAAGAGAAAAGTGTGTGTGTGGGGTGCACTGCCATTGTCACCTTTCTAACCTTTCCTTCTAATGATGCCAACACCATAGTCAGGTCACAAGGAAAATGATTTTGGTGGTCAATCATTCTGTCTATTTTGTCCACATCAGAAAAGCTCTTGTTCTCCTCACATTCCTGTCTTATAGTTTCCCACTTACTTTACAAATGCATCGTGTGGTCAGATTAACTAGAATATGGATAAAGTGACTATCCCACGAAGGGCACTGTGTTTGTAAACTCAGATACAGTCCTTCCTGCTCCTCTGAATTGCACTGACAAAATAATACGTATTTCAGACAAATGCGGAACATGCCCTGCTTTAAAAAAGTTAAATGCAAATTTCTCTCGTGTGCAGACGGTGGCCAAGCAACGTGGCTCTTTGCTCTCACAGATAGAAGGTCAGGTCATGGCTGAAAGGCCGAGGGACAATGGCTGCGTGTGTAGTCCAGACCATCACTGCAATGAGGCACCACGACACTGCTCAACAAAGCAGTCACAGGGAGCACCTTAAAAAATCGCCTCACTTTCAGAGAAGAAACATGGTAACAAGCTCATCCCAAACAAATGCTCAAGGGCTTATTCCTAATGCTATGACTCCCTAAAAAGCACATCTCCATGTAAAAACTTCATCAGAAAGTTATCACAAAGAAAAGCTTTTCCAAAGCCTGTAACTTTGGCTTCCATGCCACTCCTTGTGAATTAAAAGGACACAGAGTGCTAAAAGTATTGTAAAGGCTTCTGAACAGTTTATACATTACAACCAATATTTACTTTCATTGTTCCTTATATTGGGTTGCTTTTTTCTTCCAGAAAACAACACTGTCATTTATGTAACTCAGAGATTCTTTCTTGTTCTATTTTTCTGGTTAGTAAAAAACATGATGCTGCCAGAATGCTGTAGAATAATAGAACAGGAATATAATAACACAAGTAAATGGGCTAGCATGATATCTTTTGTTAAAAAAATGTCCATTACATCAGGAAAGAAAAGTGTTCTGTATGTGGCTTGGTGATGCCAGCCATTCATTCCAGCAAGAAGGATTTTCAATTTCTCTACCAGGCACGCCCCCAACTGGACTAAATAAAATAGGTTCCTTATTTGTGCATGTAAACAACGGGGAAAAAAACACAACAAAAAAACCCAAAACCAAACCAACTCCTTCTGAAATCTAAAAGCTAACTATAAGACTTAGAATACAGAGGTAATAAAAAGGTAAGATTTTATTTTAGTTCTCCTGACTGAAGTTCAGGGACACAGATTTCCATCACAACTTTAACAACTTTTTGTACTAAATGCCATTAACCATCTTACTTTGAGTATTCACATTATTTGTCCTAAAAAGTTGACTGGGCTAAGAGCAAATATGTCAAAAATTATTGAACAAGAAGTATATTTGAATATAGTTGGAAGTATATACTTTAGAACTATAGTAATTTCAAATAGTTACTGTGGTAACAGAATTTTATTACTTTAATAAGAATAAACCAAATAACCTGCTTTCATTGACTTTAAAAAGAGGAGCCTGAATGCTCTGTAAAAATAGTATATTGCAAGTCATCTTATTAGCACTGCCTCTCTAAAAACTGTATGCGTGTTGTCAATTAAAATTGGACTATTAAATGATCTCAACAGAGATGTAACAAAAACATCTGCTCAAATAGCAATTGAAGAAGCTGCATTCCCCTGCTACCATTTATCATTTCACTGTGCAGAGGCTTCCTAAGCAAAAGTAGTCATGGTTATCGCTGTCAAAACTAGACTCCCTCTGCCAACAATCAATTTGACTGACATATTTACATATCAACCCATCTCATCTTAGAAATTTTTAACTTTATTATTTAAAATCGGATTCAATTTGGCATCTTTTGAGAAGTTTATGCAAGCATATTTTAGGTTAAAAATTATGCATTAGAACTCCCCCCTCCTTTTTAAGTAATAGACATGCATATCCAAATGGATATTTATGTCCTGTCAGACTGGATTTTCATATGCACGCAGTTAGTCTCATCATTTCATATGAAAGGTGGTGACTCTAGGCAACTCTCAGTGCAACTCTAAAGCACAAACTGGAGGGTTCCACTACTTATGTACAATGTAATAGAAATAAGCAAGAACAGAATCACATCCATCTCAGAAAGAACGTTTCATTGCTCTCATAATGGCTCTCTTGTTATCTCTTACCTGATCTTTAATTCCAAGATCCCTTTTAGTTTTTGCTCTGTATTCTCTGTGCTCTTTTTCTGCCTCCTCCTTCTCCATTTTTGTTTTATTCAACTGATAGCGCATTTCTCCACACACCTGTTAGATTGTAAAAACACAATCAATAGCGGCTGGAATCTACCAGGCAATGTCTGAAAGTAGATCTTTTGGTGCCCCCTAGAGGTCGTAGAAATAAAATACATAAGAGATGTCCTAAAACTTATTTCCTATATAGAGATCATCAACCAAACACAGTAACTTCAGATTACAGATAAATATATAACTAGGGATTTAAGTAACATTATCGATATTACTTAATGTAATATAAAAGACAGCAAGCATTTCTGGACAATCGGAAGACCATAATCTGGTACTGAACTGTACATGCAGAAATTGTTGATAGTGTATTTCTTGTTATTTATATTTTCATAATAGAAGTTTTAAGAATATAAAAAATTTCCCCACTGAAGTATTTAAGGAAATATTTCTTTTTGTCTACTGATAGATTATACTATCAGTTGATATTTAAGAATTGTTGTGTTGTTATGTGCCATCAAGTTGTTAGCAACTCATAGCGACCCAATGTAGAAGAGCCCTAACCCCTGCTCTATCCTGTGTCAACCTCTCTGTATACAACACACCTGTTCCTATTGCCCTAATCACTCAACCTATCCATTTCAACAAAGGTCTTCCTCTCTTGTGCTGTTTTTCCACCCTCCCAAACATGATATCCCTCTCCAAGGACTGGTCCCTCTTTGCAACATGCCCAAAGTATGTCAGACAAAGCTTCAGAATCCTTACCTCCAAGAAACAGCCCAGTTTCACCCTCTCCAGGACAAACCTATTTGTCCTCCTAGCAGTCCATGGTATATTTAACACTCTTCTCCAGCACCACAGCTCAAAAGCATCAATTCTCATTCTATCATCCATAGTCACTGTCCAACTCTCTGATACATTGCACACAATTGCTAAGACTATGACCTGGATCAGAAGCATCTTAGTCTCCAGCCTGACGTCGTTGCTCTTCAGTACACTGGAGAGGTCCCTGACAGCTGACTTTCCCAATGAAATTCGTCTCTTGATTTCCTAGCTACTGGTACTAAGAGTGTTGATTTAAGAATACAGTGCCTATTATTTAGTTTGAACTTTGTGGATAAAGTCAATCTAATAATTTATCTCTCCAGCCCAGTTTTAATTAGGTTTAGAATGAACATTCTTCCAAGTGGTACAGTGCTGGGCTGTCAATTCACTGTACTAAGGTAACTTGGGGTTGCTGTGATGACGAGGACTGTGCCACTAGCATGTCAAATGCCATAATGGTTACCCATGGTGGACAGTGTTTGGTGGAGCTCCCAGATTAAGACAGGCTTGGAAGCAGAAGTGGCAACCACTTCCTAAACAACATGCCTTCAGAAACTCTATGAACTTAGAGAAATGACAATGGTCATAGAACAGGGATCAGATCTTTTTGTTTATAGGGTTGCTATGAGTTGTACTTGACTTGATGGCACATAACAACAGCAATCATATACCTACTAAGTAATCAATTAAGAAAGAAAACATACAATTAATAGGTGAGTATTAAGCACAAATCATCAAGGGAATTTCCAAGGGCAATAAATCACTTCTCTTTCTCCCAAAGCAGCTAGTGGATTTGAACCACTTACATTTGGGATGGCAGTGTTATTCTTTACCACTAAGTAACCAGAACTCCACCTTTAAATAAAAGGATTTAAAAATATAAT